CTCGTAATAGTAACTTTGCACTAATCAAATCTTTAAGCAAAAATTTATAGGCCTGCTTAGGGGTTTGAACAAGCGGTGATTATTGCAGATTTAATAGCCTTAAGCAAGAACTTGTAGAATCATCTTGCCCTTAAGAAAAAAAACTTTATCTTGCATCATTTGCGTTTGCAACCACTCAGCTTCCGTATCACTGAGAACCAGAAAAAGTGCTGTTTTCAAGACAAGCAAATCGTCCATTGTAAGAGGTGACCTGGAATGAAGTAGCATATCACTCTGTAGCAAGAATATATAAGACTTTTAAAATGTGGTGTAATAGCAGCTTGAGTTGTATGTATAAGGAAGGAAAATGCTTCATTCGAATTGACAAAATAATAATCATATTTCCTTCAACAGGCATTCTTGACATTTTTGCAGAGATTGGTCTCAAAGCATTGTTGTTAGGGTTCAAATAACTGTGTGCTTGATAAACACATATAAATAAAGAAACAATTTTTTTGCAGGGAAGGGAATCGCTTCGATGTATAATGCTTGAAGCAGTGAGCAGCAAAGCCTTTTAAGCAAAGCATTTCTTTGGTTTGACAATGACATGAATTATCGCTTTTTAATGCACACTGTACAGGAATTAAGTAAAGCAGCAGAAATCACTGCTAAACGGTGACCAATGTGATGAAGATTGGTTCTCAAGGTATCTATCGCTAATGGTTGTTCTAAATTGTGTCTGCGGCAGAATTTACATGAGCGATTTGAAAAATCAATGGATCTTCTCTAAAAATTTTATTGGATTTAGACTATCGAACGACTATGTCGTTAGTTAACTTGTAAAAATCAACATAAAGTGAACAATATACATGAGAATTTTCAAAAATCTAACTTAAATCGAATACGAAGTAGGCTGTACATACCTTCAGGTTGTAGCAGCAAGTGGGCCTTGGATATCGGCATATCTCTAAATTGCAGTACTCAATTGTCGTTGATTGCCTGAAGGTAGAAGCGATATAGGGTAATTCTCAATATATTTGAGCCATTTTTGCGCATAAGCCTGCGCCACTTGCCCTAGGCATACACACTGCTCCACTCTAGTCAAGCATGTTCTTGTTCGCATGTGCACCCCACATGATCCGCAGGAATCAGAGCAGTTCGACCATTCTGACCAAGCCAGCCAAGACGCATCGCTCTGAAAAATAATCGTGTTTGCCAGCTTTTGTCTAAGTTTGCTGGGTAAGTATTCGTTCTGAAAGGGGGAGTTGTAAACTTGTTCAAAAAAAAAAAAACCAAGATTGACTGTATGATGATGCCTGAAGTCTCCTTCCATAGGTTCGATACTCCAGAGACAAGTCAACAAAAGTGATGGTGATTTCAACTCTGCGCCTTGCAAAAAGTGATGATGCTCTTTGATATGCTATAATAGCTGACAAGGAAACAAGCCAATGTTCTGGTTTAGAAGTGC